TTCCAACCCAAACTGTTCTATGATTCTCTTCTCATGCCGTGCCTCAAGACTACCTTTCCTAGCTACACATCTACATCATAAGGGGCATAAAAAGCAATGTGTGGTCATCGGATGCTGTGTGCCATGCCTCTAGGTAGTAACATGAAATTACCTTCCCAGATTCTGAAAGTAGCAGGCTTTGTGGAGCTCCTCTTTCCACCAAACGTACTCTGAAGGTAAAGAAAACATTGTTAGGGAAAAAGAGCTGAAATCTACTGAGAGGTGTGACAGCTCAATACCATCACAACATTTTATACAGAGTTATTAAATAAGTTTAAGTAAACTTACTATACCTGTCATGTCTCAAGGATTTCAGATCTACATACACTGTGGTGGGATCAGGCCCAGATGTTCCCTGAAGAGTTAACATTTAAAAAAAAAATTAACGTATCTACAGAAGTCAGGGTAACTTCTGCCTGAGCTCATTTCCAGGGGTTTCTTACTGGCAGCAAAATTCATATTCACATTTCCCCACCCTTGCAGTTGCACTAAGGGAAACACTTCAGTAAGCAGGCTATTTTCTCGCTATACCAAGTGTAACACCAGCGTGGGATGCGTCTTTGGGGAGGGGGGAGCTGCCATGGAGATGGCCCAAGCACTCTCAGCTATCAACCCTGGGGCAACTAGTCACTGTTTACATGGAAATAAGCAGTTCTCTAATGTCATGTTTCAGTTGTTTTGAGCATCTGTGATAGAATCTGGCAGTTGAAAACAAGAGAAGCTGCTTAAATCTTGTGCCAGCTGTTCTCTACAAAGCAGATGTTGCGCTATGCTAGTTAGTGCGTGCAGGTTAGGAAGTCTGCCGATTCAGAATACAACGGAATCTGGAAATCTGACGCCAGTGACAACACATGCACTAGAAAGCACTCGCGTTACCTGTAAACAGATAGCAACGTTGACTCTTGATCCGAAGGTGGTGCTTACAGCACGAGACGACAGGCCAATGTCTTTGAAGAGTTTGGAGAAGGAATGAGTGAGAGAAACTCGCGGCCGTTCCTCTGCAACTACCACACAAGTCCGGACACAGGACAGATTAATTCCTCGTGCCTGGAAAAGACGCAAATGAGTGCAAAGGACGGTATATGGTGATCACCTCTGCCACACTGCACCAAGATCTTCCCCTCTCAAGAAGTGACATTTGGTTTTTGTCTCTGGAATTCCAGAGAAATCACTTGAGAAATGCAGGACAAACCCTGTTGTTGTATTCAGCTTATTTCCTCTTTCCAGCTTCTATTTGTAATTATAAAACGTATCTGACCAGAGCCTAGAAATACTGCTAGAACAAAATATGCACTAACAGTGCTCCTTCCTCTGCTACAGAACATAGCATCACATGCTTCTGCAGTGCTTTTCAGCTAAGATTACATCTGTTATTCGCTATTTATATAGATGGAAACCAAATCAAGTGAGAGTAAAGTCATTTGCTGGGATTACACTGAGTCTTCAACAAAACTGGGACCAGAATCCATTATTATTTCTAGACGTGATCATTAATGCACTGAACCGCACTAGCCAGTTGTTTGAACCTGTGCATTATTCTGTTTAACTGGTGACGCACAACAAAGCAGACACCTTCAGAACTCTGCCACCAACAGAACAAGACTGACTCTTAATCTCATAGATGGAGTACACTATTTCAGTAAAACCCACGCAAAAAGCCACCTCAAGCGTTTTATGTAGCTTTTTTTTTTCCTTCCTCTCATCTCCAAGGAGAAAACACCTCTATTTAGCAAATCGCCTAACATGTGTGCTTTACATCATGTGCTGGTCTGAGCCTTCACTGCAGACTGTTATATAAGCAATTCTTCTGCATAGCATTCTGCTGCTGGCATCCTCTCTTTAGGGTTTGCCCAGCAGTCTCTGACACTCACTGGCAACGTGCTACCTACACTGCAACACATACACCCTACTCAATTTCAATTCTTTTAATTTCCTGGGGTTGCAAACATTTTCTGTTGCTTTTGCTTTTTGAGCAAGTTGTGGACTGGAGACTTCTGCAACAGGAAGACTGTTGTATTTAGCAATCGTATCGCTTTGCTTTACTACCACAGTTTCCTTAATTTATTAACATAACATTCAGGAAACATTTCTTACCTTTAACATTTCAACTTGGTTTCCAAGTCCCTTTGTGCACAGTTCCATGACTGAATAGGAACAGAAAGTGTCCCTTATTTTATACTGGCTGACAGTAGATAACCAGAGAAAAAGATTGGATTCCAGCTCCATAGGAGGAATTAAAATTGACTGGTGTCCAGAATACACACTGTGAAGAACATTAAGGAAGAAAACAGTTTTGTGTAGCATGTAGTTATCTGTAAATTAATATTCACTGTATTTTCATGTTACATTCCTGCTAGGCCAAATGCAGGTCGTGGGACTCTGCATCTGAGGCAAACTGATAATAGCTCCAATGCCCACCTTCTCTAGCAACATTGTTTTAGAAATACAACTTACTGTACAAGAATAACAATTTATACACACACAAATGTGCACACATACTGTCAGAGTGAAGGAAGAGAACTGGCTCAACCACAAAGTTTACAGAACGAAAACTCCCTTACTGCAACATATAATCAAGGAAGAAAGGCAAGAGAAACATTCTGGAGCCAGTACTATTTGGCAGCACAAATACGCATAATCAAGATAGGATAACATCTTGCTAATCTGCAGGAAAAGGGAACACATTATTGTCAGTTCAAAGACAAATTCTCCCCTTACTGTAAATTAGTCATTTTGGTAATGTCAACACAATCTCTCTGTAATTACACCAGATAAAGACATGGACTGCCATTTCCCATTTATAAGCAGCCAGGAGTTAAACTTTTCCTTTTTCCTCTCAGACGTCATACCTGCAAAGGCACCAGAGCACAAAACCTAGTCCACAATAGGGGTCAAGACAAATTGCAATCTGCCGAGAGGAGTAGAGTTCACATTGAAGCTTGATTGCCCTGCAAAGACCACTCACTGCTGCGTGGGACATCTGCAACACAAGAGACAGAGAAACTGTGCTGAAATTTAAGGACATCAAAATAGGACTTCATCAACACAGGCAGGTAAGAACAAAGATAGGTTTGCCTTGATAACACTCGTCCATAAACCATGTTTCTTCCTTTATCTTCCATAGCAGAGGCAGAGCATTGCAGAACCCTCTGAGCCATAGTAAACTAGAAATACTGATACCAATATCTATTGCTTAAAAGCTTTAGGCAGCTCAGACTCCAAACACCTTAATTAATGACAGTCTAAGGCTTTCATTTTTTACTTCCTTATCTTAGTTTTTGTCAACTGCATTCCTATCCTGCTGGGGGGAAAACAGAAGTTCACAGCTCTGCTACTCACATCGCTCACTATTCTCCTAACAGGCAGCTCTCCAGTGGGAGGCAGCAGCAGAATTCCTGATGCCCACTGTAGAGACCTGTCTTCCTATATTGCAGAACTAATTCTTCAGCACAAAGTCCCACTGCATTGTCTGCAACGAATCCATAGCTTTATTGAAAGAAAAGCATGGTCTTTATTTAAGCTACGAGAGCCAGCTTTGGTGGAGGTCAAGGGGAGAGGTAGTTCAGAATATCAGCCAAAGACAAGACACCAAAACGCCTGTCTTCTAAAACCATTTTACCGTACCTTTACTCCTGTAAGCATGCCTGTTGTGGAAACACTAAAATCTAGATATGCTAACATTTCAGGCGTAGGTGGCTTATAGATCTGAGACAGCCGCTTCCTGGGCAAGTCATCTGTACAAGAAAGGAACAAACGTGATTAATTTTTGATTACTGAACTGGTATTTGAAAGGAGAACACAACTTTCAAAAAGCCTGAGATGGACGATAAAGCTTTCTATTAATTCTTTTTCCAAAAGAGACAGACTAATATATGACACGACTCTTGCCAAAGTTCCCATGTAGAAAATTAATTATTCTCAGAAAAAGGGAGAAGAGACCAACTTACTCTTGTCTAAGGAAATTAACAGTTGTCTGCAACATGGCTTTTCAGTAAAATTATTTTCCGTCCATAGCTCAACAAATGCAGAAGAGATGTCAGTAAACAAGGTCAGACCTAGCTTGTATCTTGGATAGTTTTTCTAAATATTCAAACAAATTCTGAAGAGCCATCCAGTTAGCATCTGAAATGTGGGACAGTCCCTTTGGAAGTCAATGGCAATGCCTACACAGAACTTCAAAAAGTCTTTTAGCCCATGGACCGCACCTGTGTCAATGATGGTTGGCCAGGTTTTCACATCTACAGCAGCAGCTGCCTCTCTGGATTTCAGTAGTCTCATTAAGGTCTGGGTTGTGAGAATACAGGCAGCTTTGCTGACCTAAAAAGATAAACACTTACTAAAAAACGAGAAAGACAAAAGCATGTCCCGGTGACACTGTCATTGCAAGATTTGATGTTCAAAGAGTGTATTTTACCATCTGTAGCCAGCTTCCCCTAACAAACTTGCATTCATTTCTTTGGCTTTTGCAACACTGCTCTCTACTCTTCCTTCACTAAAACGCCAAATGCAGACTAAAATGCAAAAAACCACATCAGGACCTTTAGAGCAGGTGAGAACATTACACAGTCTACATCTAGCTTTCTCCCCATGGTTATAATGGGGAGGCATCCTTTCCCGGTTACTGGGCTTGGAAAGTAACTAATAGCAGGATCTGCACTTGCCCAGCAATATGGAGTGTCAATGTGAAATTTTAAGTGCTAACATCATGTTAGTATCTCTCAGAAACCAGCTGTTTCATAGCAATTCGTCTTGCCACATAAGGAGAGGTGGTTCTCTCTTGCATTTTATGAATGAAAACACTGTCCTTCAGTTACAAGATGTGCTTCAATCACTGCTGTCATGTAAACAGCATGGGAGTTTGGACAGCTGTGTTAACCACTCGAGTCTGAGAGGCCAAAGCAAGAGTGCTCCAGCCATGCTCTCAGCTACAGCCCCGTTACTCACTTCCACGATCATTCGCACAGTGGGCAGAGTAGCAGTGAGGCTCTGAGCATGAGGTGGTCTCACGGTCACAGGGATGCAGCCAGCATACAAACAGCCATAGAACGCGGTGATTAGCTCAATGCCTGCAAGGACACGATAGGCTGTAGTGTAGGACACTGGTGGATGGACACCCTGGTGACACCAGCGTTTCCCCTGAGTACTTTTTCTCCAAGCATCTGTTACAATTTCCGTTAGAAGGTGGTACACACACTAGTCACTTCCACAGCACAGATGTGCAACATAAACAGTTCAAACACCGAGGGCAGCACAACAAGGAAGCTAAGAAAGCTTGGGATAGGGGACTGGGAAAGTAGAAAAGACTGACCACATAGAAAACCATATCCATCTTACAGCAAAAGAATGTTCCAAGTGTAAAATGACTCAGAAGTCAGTCAGGACAAAACAGAATTGTCTGGCAGGGCAGGAAGTACACTGCTAGGGAGAGGTGCTCTCTGGTGTGTGAGCGTCTTACACACGCCAAGTGATTAAGCTGTGTGCTACCAGCCACAGCAGGCAGCCTGCACGTCCCACTGTTCCCAGCCTACTGCTGTAGAAAAGGCATCCAACAGTCTCAGATGAAGTGCCCATTTTCTGCACAGCTGAAGGTGATGGCACCAGTCTCTACCAGAAGCCACCCTGCCATTTCTCATAGCAAACTACACGCTTTCCCTGGATGAAAAGTTGCCAACTGGCAACGTGACTTGAGACAAACAAGATCCGAATAGACCAGGAGCTGAGCAATCTCTGGTAGGGTGACTAGCACAATTCTCCAGCACATGCAGTGCGGTCACAAGTTTGATAACTTTGCAGTGAACATGTCATACCAGAGGATCTTTGATAACTACAGAAGTCTTTGAAGTTTTTATTCTAAACATCATGACACAGCAAGATCTAGCCAGGAACGCGAAGGCACAAATCGGCTTTTCCAAAACTCTAGAGAATCGAAGTTCTAGTCCTGATACTGCAAGACTGAGGACAGCCCTCTCTGGAATCAAAACTAGATTAGTGAGTTATGCAGTCCCTAGGGTATCACTGTTTCAGTTCTCTCTCCTACATTTCCAGATCTCAATGAGATTTCAAAGAAAGACCATTCTGCATGTCCACAGTGGGATGCAGTCATTATTAAGACTTGCTTACCAGGAGGATAAAGAAGCACCACATTGTCTCCTGCATTGAGATGTCCTTTGTCACACAGAACTGATGCAATTCTCTCCGCTTTTTTGTGCAACTGAAGGCAGGTGGCTGTGCACACAGTAGTTCCCTTGAAAGGAGACAAAAATGCTCTAAACAAGGCCTGGCACAACACATGTGTCAGTGAAATGGCTGCTCCTGCAAAAAAACCAAACTTGCTTGCTAGCGTCAGTCTATAGCTACTAGTTATCTATACCTATAGGCTGCTGGCATTCAATGAGACATTTATCCACTACAATATCAAAAAGATAGAGATGGGGTTAGATCTGCTCTAGAAAATTCTACCTTCCAGGGAGTCAGTTCAAGTCTTCTTGCACCAGAACCTTGCCAGAATATACTCAACAGGGATACACCATTAAATGATACAGGAACCAGTGGGACCTACAAACACGCTCAGTTTTAAAATGAAGCACTGAACCATGACAGTCATTTAGATAAAGTGACCTATAGGTTCAAAAGGTTCAAATTTTAAGTTACAAATCTATGGGCAAAATCCGATACAGAGACTAAATAGAGGACACTGGAGCGGGCAAAATATTTTAAACAGTCTCAGACTTGTGCTGAACAACATGCTGTGGACCTTCAAAAAACAACAACTCAGCACAGACTGTACCTTGGCATTTAATAAAAGGAAGAGTGGGTGATCAGGAGTTGCTTGAGCTCTCCACTGTAACACCTCTGTCAGGAACTGGTGCTGAAACAAAGAGGCAGTAATTAAATGCTAGTGTTTCTACTTCAGAGGCAGTACTTAAGTTCACTTCACATTGCTGCTTTGCATTCAGCTGTCGGGTAAATTCTTTTCCCATTCTCTACCCATAACAAATACTGATTTACCTTTTTAACTAAATCATTGTCTTCTATTTGACCAAGATCTCTTCCAGAGGCTTGAGCAATACGCTTCCCAGCAACCAGGTTCCCCACCATCACAGAGGCAGGGCCAACGCCTGTTGATAAAGAACAGCCACATGAAATCTGGACTTTTAATGCAAATGGGAAGGAGCTGGCCTAGAACTGCAATCTGCAGGACAGCAAAGGTACAAAGATCGCCTGTAGGATCCCACTGCTCCTGGGCATGGGTACAAGAAGAGAAGTAATGAAACCTCACTGATACAGTCCAGAAGGCATTGCTAGTCTCCTATTCATCAGTAGAGAGAATCCCAATGAGTTCAAAGATAGGAATCAGAATTCCTCAGTGACACATGCAAAGAGAGGCCTCAAACACGCCCCAGCCACAGGCCACAAGACAAGCTCTGGCCCCAGCAAGTAGGACACTCAGCGTCGGAGGCATCACACAGCTTCCTAGGTCTGAGATTGTGAACTTCAGTTTACTAACATTTATCAAAAGGGGCTCATGTTACCTGGTTGTTTCTGCCTGGGTTTTGGCAAGTTCGTCACACACGTGTGTGGGCACATGAGGATGTTGCAGGGATGCAGAGAGCCCTCCAGAAAGTGCTGTTTAGTTTGAGAGATATGGATCCCTCCCAACGGAGTTTTTGGCAATGTATTGGCTGGCACAAGAGCAAGGCAATATACACCCACTTGGTGAATGCTGTCAATTGCCTAGAGAAAGGAAAGATGGTCACTTGAATTCTTGGTACTGCTGGAGACAGTCTACTGTTACTGGTTGCACTGACATACTGCAATACAAATCCCTGCATTTATAAGGTACCGGGGAGCAAGTCAGTCACTATCATTCCCTTTCACCTCTGTAACATCAGCGAGCCCTATGGTAAGAGTTAACTGCTTGTTAGCATCACTGCCTTTATAGTTCATCTCATCTACAAAAAATCCATTTTTAAATCTTTCATGACCAAAATCCCAAAATATACACAGTTGCTTGATGAATCATGTGATTTTGAGCTTAGGATTTTATCCATCTGTCTCCTCTGAACCATCACACACTGCTCCTTTTTGTTCACCTCAGCATTTAGGCATCTAATACATTATTCAGACCACCAGATACTTCCCTGATTTTTCTCTCCAGTTTGCATACTTCACAACCTGAAACACCATTCCCAAGAATGACATACATGCAATGCAGGCAGCTCTCAAAGTATTTGCTACTCATTCTACTTACTTAGGACTACACTCAGTCAGCTGTTTTAACCTTTTTCTGCTTACGGTCTCCCTGCTGAAAATAAATTGCCAAAGACAAGGGTGGCTTTAAAGCATAACTTTGAGCACCAGCATGATCCAAGACTAAAAGCAGAACTCCTAAGCTTGAGCACTGGATCTGCTTTGCAGTGCTGAGAGGCAACTGTGTTTCTCTACATGGTCATCTTGCTAGCATAATGCTGACCACTTTGTCAGAGCCTACACTATTCTGTGTTGCAGCCACTTTCCCAGGACCTTCAGGACATAACAGAACAGCTTGTACACAGCAGATGTACCAGCTTGTGACCCTGTAAAAATACCTTGCGCCAAGAGGGATCATGAGCCTGTGCTCTTTCCATCTGGGGCATGCTGATGGCCTCTTATCTGCCCACACACTGAAAAACTGCACAAACTCACCTCGTCCATCTATGTAAGCGGGCTTACCTGCAGCACTCGACTCATCCACTGAAAACTGTCCTCTTCAGATGCATCTGGCCTCTGCTCTGCAACCACCACAATCCTCTCATCATAGAAGACAGATACTGAGAACACAGCAATCCTAAGGAAAAGAGGAGAGCTATATTGGCACAAATTCCAGTTTTACTCCTTGGGAACAGGAAGCCAAGGAAACAGACTAAAGACAGAACTCATAAAAAAACCCATGGGGCAAAGACAGAGAGAAAACATTAGCCAACTAAAACTGAGTCAAACCCAAAAGACTTTGTGAAGTATGTAAGGGATTAATTCCACCTTCTGATGAAATTTCTACATAGCATAGTCCCCTGTCCTCTCAACCTACTATCATATTTCTGTTCCAACCTGTGGCAAATCACAAATGCAATAAAAGCTTTAAAAGTATCTACATGACGTAGGAGGCTTAAAATCTCCTGTTAAGTCTTAGAGACACGAGCTCCAACCCTGCCTGAAGATCTAGAAAATTATATCCACAACTGCTAAATAAAATTAAGTACCTTTGGACATTAATGAAACTCTTCATTGCTGCAGAGCATAAGCCAGCAGCTAACTACTGGAGACTTAAAAGTAAATTCTACAGAGACGGAGAATTAAATTCTCCATGTGGCTGACTTATCTTGTTACTTGAGTCCTTCCCCTAAAGTACACAGACTTGATGAAAAGCCAGACAGGACAGTGGGGAAAACAGACCTGTGTTGGCCAGGATCAGGCCAATTACTGTCTAAACCAAAAACATATTTACTTTAACTGAGCTACCCAAACAAACCAGTTACTGAAGAGAAACCAAAGATCATACTAAAGATCCTGTTTCACTATATTGCATGCAGAAGCTTATGGGGAGGGGCAAGGTTTATTTTACTAACCTTCCTCTGTAAACTGTTTTTATTGACTCTACTGCCAATCCAGTTGCTACAATGTCATCGGCATTATGTCTACGTCCGCTAACTGTCAGCAATCCATCCATTTTTCCAACCACAAATACCAAACTGCCCTGAAAGATAAGAAGTGAGTATATATAAATATCAGTGAGTAACTTACATAAAGCGGATATTCAGATGTCTTTGATGACTTGCATATTTCGTAACTATGGCTAGATCAATGGAATTTGTATAGAACACGTTTTCTTTCTCTTTAAATTACATCATTTATGACTAAACCAGGAGAAGCATTCTAGCCACTCAGTGAGACAAGACACTCCAGCACGCATATCAGAACTGCCATAAAAAAAGCTTCTTACACTTGGTTTTAGAAGAATTAGCATTCTAAAAATGTAACAAGCAACACAGTAAGGCACTGTAATGACAACATGCTGGAAAAGTAAGGGCTCCCACTGGCTCAGGCGAACCCATTAACTCTCAACTGTCTTATCCACAGCAAGCTATCCTTACACATACTTCTGTACCCAAACGCTTTTCTTTCAAACGTTCAAGGCTATTAGCACGAACAAAAGAATACAGCAATGCAAGCTCAAAAACTATTATTACGTACAGGTCCAACAAACCCCAGCAAGCCAGAACGGACAAATGGCACATCACCCACTGGAGAGCCAGCTGAGTTCACAGGGATAACCTGCAACAGAAGGGAGGACATTGGAGGTAAAGTGGATTCGCCTGAGGATAGAAAAACATTCCCCACATCAAGAATTGCACTATATGTGAGTGAAGTGATGAGGAGAAGGGGAGGGAATCCTTGGAACAGTCATTGTTTTAGCACTGTGGGAGACCTTTGTGAAAGAGGAACATTGAATATATCTAACTGTAATGAGTTTTTCAGTGTATCTTTTTAAAAAACATTAACACTTAAGCTACAAAACCGAGAGATTTACAAGGCTATCAGTTCTACACAGGAAACAGGGAAAAAAGACACATTCTACTATACATACCTCAAATGTATTCTTTGTCACCCCTGTCAGCCCATAATACATCATTCCTCCTGCTCTGGAGCTGACACAGATCTCACCAATCTCATCTGTTTTACAGAGCTGAGGTGGTCCATCAGGTTTCACTATACACATCATTCCTAGGACGAATTACGCATTGTTAAAATAGTCCCCAAGATTTGCCTTGTGTAAGAACTGACACATTTAACCGTGACAGATACGACAACACAGCATGGGACTGCCTAACCTCCCCCAACGCTGAGGCTGAATATGAGAGAGAACATTGACCGGTTCTTTTTCTAAAACACTCCAGACCATTCACAAAAAGGTCTTATAGGAGACTCCTGCACATTTTTACCTCCTGGCATCACGTGGCCAACATCCTGGACAGTGAGAGCAGAGTTTTTATCTTCAGTGTTGACACGAATCACACCAAAACTCAACCCATTCATGGACAGGATGGCTCTTCCAGGCAAAGGTGCCCCGGGGACCCCAGGCCTTTGAAGGACACAAAATCAATACACTGAATCAGGCATACAGGCTATTATTAGACTCGGATGAAGATACCGCAGCAACAGAAATATGCATATTCCAGTATCTCTTCTTTGCATAAAAAATTTAAAACTATGAGGTGGCAGTAGAGATTGCCTCCCAGAAGAGCTACATTGATCAATAAATAAGAAACGGTATTTTTGGGCAAGTGCAACTCTCCTTGCAGCTCTTTAGCTTACCCCATGTTAAACACCAGCTCCCAGGCCAGAAGATTACAGGGACATTTATTACAGAAGGCAGCAATGGACAGGAACAGACTATGAAAATGATTGTCCAAAGTGATATCAAATTTAATCTCATATTCAAGAATACCACACTAGCTGCGTAAATCAAGAGCAGGAAAAAGCAGTGCACAGTTCTTACAGGCACTGTTGAGCTGTCATGCATCTTAGAGGAAAAAAAGCACTCGTATCTTAGGAGAAATGTTTAACAACTTAGCTACTTGAATACCTGAGCAGATACAGTAGATGTCAGTGGAGCTTATTACATGCTTAAGTCAACTATGACCAATCGATGTGTGAAAAAACCTCAGCCTGGATCACTTAATCTAGCAAATGCTGTACACCCATTACCTCCGTATTGCAATAGTCATCGCTTCTGGAGATGTGGCACATGGACAAATTGCCTCTGGTTTAAGCCCGTGGCTCTGAAACAAGCTCAGGAAGGCATCACATGAGGAAACAGACCCTGGAAAGAAAGAAAATATGCCACTATGACTTTACATAATTTGATTTAAAAAACTGTCTGTAAAATAACCTAGAAATAAGTGCAGTGTATTTGCAGCGTACATATACTGTATCACTTCTAAAAACTCCAGGTAGCATCTTCCAAGATACCAGCCACAAAGGAGCTTAAGTGCCTACTGAATGTGACTTGGGAACAGGCGTATTCTCTTGAACAAGTCTGCTTTTCTACCCCAGTTTGCTTCAGAGTTGTTACATGCTCACCATACAACAACAGGCTTAAAATACTTTCCAAACCTCCAACAATTAGTGCATATATGTAGGGTCTGTTTCCATGCAGCATGCATAATCAAAACAGCTCTAATGGTATTCCAAGTATCCCTTGCAGTTGGTGCCATCCAGACAAACATTCTTTAAGCTTTTCACTAACAGCATTCCTTGCAGATTTTTCTGGGCATTTTTTCCCCTTCAAAGTTCTTCTTAAAAGCCTTTACCTTACCCTCTGTGAGCAATTCAAAACCAATCTCACTGTCTCCCAGAATTCTGTTTTACACACAAGAGCTCCCCACTCAACCCTCCTGTTTCTTACTTTGCAGTATCTTTCACAACTCATACTCAAAGGATGAAAGCACAGAAAACCCCTTGCCCTGGTGCTCAAGTACCACAATCCACAGCTCTGTGTTACTACACAGATGCCCTAACTGATATCTTCTCAGAAGTATCTACAAAAGGAGTTAAGCTTGAGCTTGTGAGACAACTAGCTGAGAAACCTCCCTCCTGAAAACAGCAAGATGTGCATACTCACAAGGATTTGCACCATCAGTTACAATCAGCATGCGTAGAGAACTCAAACTGACATCTCTTTGGTCTCGATGGGCCATCATGGCCCAATGCAAGTCTCGACACTTGACTAAAGCAACTTTTGCTGCAAACCAACACACAAAAAGAAAAACCATGTAAGGACAAATAAATGCTTTCCATGAGTCATTTTCATATGACTACACCCTCCAACACTCCCAAATGAGAAAATTCTCACTAAAGCAAGCAAGTCTTAATTAATTGAGCCTGCAGTAACAGCAAACCCCAACATACAATAGCATCTGCTGTGGCATACTGGCCATTTGCCCACCACCTGAGCCAGGGTCTGTCACTATTGGAGCCCCTCCTCCAAAACGCATAAATCATTATCACCATCTGAATGTCCTTATTCAGATGAGGACTGGGGGTGAGGACTGGGGATCAATGGATCTTGCTGTGCTCAACTATTTTCTTGGTTTCATAAAAGGCATTGGCTTCAAGTACACAGGTCATGAGGTCCCCATCAAGTTCGCTGACATTCATGTGGCATTAGGACTTTGTGCATATTTAGAAATAAATTAGAGTTTTGGCCCTTGTGATTTGTCATGGAAGAGCAAGAAGACAGGCTCTAAAGCATTTGAGATTTTAATGCCCCTCATTCATTTATCCTGAGAACTTCAAGCTAAAGTTGTGGAACACACGCAGTTACCTTTGTGGGCATGAACTCTCTGCACCCATGAGAGTGGACAGGTTTTCATCACAGAATAGGGCACGCTGATAGTATGCAGTTTGTTCATTACATTCTGAAAAGTTGAACAAGATTTTTAGAAAAGAGCTCACAAAACCTATTATGAAGCAGAAATAGGAGTCACCCTCACTCCCCATCAACCCCTACCCCACCATGAATTCCCATAAGTTTACTGAGGATGCTTTTACACTTCCCTCCAGAGAACTGCAGATCTAGTAGGGAGAGAAATGGTTCACATAATAGGTAATGGTCCTCAACCATCTCCCCAGATGTTGCAATTATAAAGAGTTACGAAACACTTCAAAAAGTCCTTACAGGCTCAACTCACCGTTAGAATGCCATGCCACAACCCTGCATCCTTCTTAAAATCCAAAACATTCACTATCGTTTCACCTGGGAAAAGAAAGTTGTAGTTTTTAAATGTGCCAGGACAGCTGTGACTACTATTTATGCTAGAATCTGCATACAATTGAATCTGTCATTTGAATCTGTCAGATCTGCTCCAAGAGGTACACATGTAGCAAGCAAGTGCAGAGCCTTGTTTGTCTGATTATACGTTTTACTAGTCAGAGCTCCTTGTTATGTAAAATAACACAACTGAACATCAATTTAAGAGAAGGAACACATCCCAGAAAGTTGCAAGAAAATTACATTCCAGCCTGTGATGTACATCAGTAGAACAGAAAGGGTCTTAACCTCATTATGCATGAGCAGTAGCACGGGAAGAGAGTAGAGAACATCATTCAAGCACTGACTCCCAGAAGCAATGGAAATTAAAGTGATGCCTTCCAAAAGACAAACTCTGCATTTTAAAGTACTATGACATACAGCTCTGAAAATAAAATTTCAGTCATGGATATATAAATTAGCTTGATTTACAAGGTAGACCAGACTAAAACCATATCCTACAGCAGAACTCTCTGTACTCCCACCAGCAATTTCCAATCTCCATTTCTCAGTTAGCCAAAAAGCCTCATGCGACTAGTGTAGAACCAGTTTATGCAAGAGGTGCTTTGATATTTACACACGCGATCAAGAGCAAAAGTTTGGAACTACATTTTAATGGGTGATCAGTACAGTGAGAAGGAGACTCAAGCTTGTTGGAAAATGCTCCACTTTTGATTCATCTGGTCCCCTTTTGATTCATCAGAATAGACTTGTTAACTTTCTAGACACGATGCAAATCCCACTTTTTATTCCTCTTCACTATGTCAATGAAAATGACGTAGTTTGGGATGGAAAAGATTACAGACAGTCTCCACTTTTGGAGGAGAATTAATCTGCACTTTTTTCCTTTTTTTTCTTTTTTTAAGTAGACACTATTGTCTATTGGTTACTCATAGACAGCTGTTAAAAATATGAGAGGCAACCACTGAAAATGATGTCGCTGAACCTTCATTTCTTTGAAGTTTCTGTGACATCACCTACCTTCAGAATAGTTGCAGGCCTGAGACAAGGCTTGACAGTGAGACAGCATGGCAATCCGAGACACTGTAACACCCATAACACTGCCCTCTTTGCTCGTCTTGTACTACAGAAGAGAAAAAAATTCAGGGTGTGACTCTGGATCCCATGTGTGAAGGAAATTAAAATCACAGAATCCATATTAAATAAAGTTCTGTTCCTCTAAAGCTGCTGAGACATACTCAAAAAAGTACCTGCTTGTAGAAAGGTATCAGCAAGGTTCACTACAGAAAATATGGTTATTCAGGTAGCAAACATGTTCAGCTAACTCCAGAGATATATGAGATAAAGATGGCAGTTGAACGTGTTTCTGTTTATTTCACCGTTACTACTTCTCACAACATTTCCTCCTGCTCCCATAAGTAAACTGAAAAGCCAATTTGTAATTTTAGAACAGTCAAATTACTGTTACTACTTAAACCATTGCAATTCCTAGAAGTTGCCTTACTGAAGTGTACAAACAAAAATAAGCTCTGCTAGGAAGAACAGAAAATTTGAAATGCTGTTGGCTTAAGTAGTTTCAGAAATCTGTGTTAGCAAGTACACTATCTTAGAGAGCTCAGTTGTCTCAATTACTAGCTTTCTGGAATAAGAACAGTGTTCTCCAATTCATTCTGAGCAGCACTCAAGGCCACAAAGATATTCAAAACTAAAATAAGCTTCACAGCAGGTTGTACACAGCGGAAGACTTGTTTCAGTGGCTAGAAACTGGGAAGTTTAAGGTAGCGAGGTGAAAATATTATCTCTCTGGTGATTAGAACATCAAATTCAGCTCACGGAAACTACTTTCTATTCCCCATTCACTACTTACCTCAATATATGCTGGCTCAGTTCCTGCAGCTGAGATGTTGGGCTGCCAGTCCTTAGGAGATTTGGAGAGATATTTTGAATCTGTCACAACCCATTTGAGCCTGGGCCAACCTAGAGCCAAAATTAAAGTAGAATACTAATATCAGTTTATTTATTAAGGGATTTATATTCTGCAAGAATACACCAAAACCCCATCATTTGTCCAAATTCAGTTACACAAGTAAAATACCAATCCAAGCCAAGCTACTAGCCAGAAGGTTCATCTCATTTCTCATCAGGGAGTTCAGTGGGCAACAAGGCACTTCCTCTACTCAGGAAAGATCCCTGCAGTATTTCTAAATATAGCTTGTTGTATCATTAATAAAACTGGTTTTGAACCTGCCAAATGCCACTGAAGGGATCTGAGGACAACCCTGGCTTGTAAGGTGGATTCATTGTGAATTCCAGAACAACAAAGCAATTCTGTCAGACACATGGATCAATCTACACCATATGCATAAAACCTACAATAGGTTAAGTGATGGTACCAGAAAAGCTGCTCACTTTGCCCCCCCAAAATGCATTCAGACTTCTGACAACCACTTTCAGACAGTTCAGCTATAGCAAAAGTACAATCAAGAGCAAGTATATAACTGATCTAACCTTTAAACTGCACAATTTCTCCATTTTGGGTTTTTGGAAGCCCTTTCAGACAAACTTCAGTGGTGAGGGCCAAAGCAATACCACAGCTTCCCAGCAGAAAACCAATCTGCTGACCACCAGCATCCTGAGGGAAGAGAGGGGAAAAAAGTCATTCCTGTTTAAAGATGACATAACTCAGCTTTTCCCTTACCAAAATCCAAGGTTTGGTAATGCTCTGGTAACTGGATGGTAACATTATGGATCACATGGGGAGGAAAAAGAAGAAACAACCCATGCCGACAAACACTCTTTC